TTCAGAGGATGGGTCGCCCTTGATTCTACCTTAGAATATTTGCATAGGAAGGGCCCTGTTCAATTGCCTAACAATAAACTTAGTTCGGGCCGATAAGAGTGCGGCCTCCGGCGGCCTCCGTCTCTTCCTCCTACCGACATGAATCCATCTCAATGTGATTTTGGTTGTCGTGTCTCACAGAACGGTTTGTGCAGTGCCTGAGGAAACTTCAGCATGTTGAATGTTCACTTCCGCACCGACTCTTGATAGCTTCTGCTTGCCCACTCCGATAGATTTCAGCGGGTCTCTCTTATCCCGAGAAAGTTCGTCCACCGCCTACTGTGGTCCGGAAATCCGCCGCCGCTGTCAAGGCCCACCACAATCATCAGTATTTCGGCGCCAATATCAGAAGTCTGTGGAAACCTGCGTTCTCCACCTCCACCGTCCTCAGGAAATCACATCATTACGCAGTTCGCAACTCCGCCGCCGAGGCACCTACCACGATAATCCAGAATTACCGGCAACACCCGGACGTCCGTTTCCGCGCCCAAACAAGTCTTCGCGCCAATTACATTGCCCCGTAGGCTGCAACCGCCGCTGCTGCGGTCGAAAGGCCCTCCAAAACCATAGTTATTCGGATCGACCACCCCATGTCTGAGGTGAAGTTGCGTCTCCGCCTCAACTGTCTTCAAACGCTAATTACAGATCAGTGACTCCTCCATGTCCACCCATCTCTCAAGTCTGATCGCGATGAACTGACCATACGCTTTATCTCACCGTGGACATTATTCCGTGCCAGGACAAAATGCAGGAGATCCCCGATCCTTTTTCCCAACCTCCAGAAACTTCACTCTCCTTTCTCTGCAACAGACAGCACTTTGACTTGGCTCCCCCCAAACTCATGGACCGGCAAACCAACTATGGGGCTTCACCCGATCAGAATCAGTGCGAGATTCGGCTGTTCAACGCTCGACTCGCTTTGGAGGTATGTAAGTTGGAGGCTCACTCATACCATCACTGGTTTATTTTCGGGCGGGTGACTTCCCTTAGCGTTTTATATGCTACCGCCAGCAGAGATTGCGATAATTTAGAAGGAAGTGAGATGGGGGATTTTCGAAGGATAGGAGGCAAGATCCCATAGTTACTTCAGTCCACCTATGAATCTTGCGGGATGGGAGGGAAACTAGGTGGGAAGTAGGGATATTAGGGGAAAGCGACAGCAGAGAACTGCTCCTTTTACGACAGCGACGTCCCGGGGGGCTATTCTACAAAAAAAACCGGCAACCACACAGGTGTGTGTTGTGTGTGTCTAGTCTGTGTCTGTGTGTGTGGTGCGGCTTGTCATCTCGTCCAGTTTGGGGCACTCAGGAACGAGATAAAGCCTCTAGTTTGCCCTAACACCCGTTCGCCTGGCATCTGATTGAATCACCACCAAATCTTAAGCTTCAAGAGAATCAAGTTGGTAAGCCAGGAAAAATGTACTAAAACTTTCATAGTCGGGACAATTCTCCCTCAGAGCCCATTCGAAAATGGGTCATTGACAGTAAGAGAATTCGGGCGAGTGTGGTTTCCTACCCGCTTCCATACAGCACCTTTTGGCACTAAAAATTCATCCACGATAAGAAGACGGGGGTTCCATTTCCAAACAGGTTATTACTGTGGAAACTGAAGCGAGCACGTCCTTCCTCCATAAAGGGCCTGCCCCCCCCGTGAGTACTGATTAGACGTGTGTACCGCCGATAAACTAGATGAGTGTTGCCCTACGAGAGCTACAACTGCTTCCCCTCGTTTAAGTGGTTAAAACACCTAAAAAGATTACTGAAGCAAGAGAGGTGCGTTGCCAACAGTGGCCCCGCCCCAACGGTTAACGCAGCACCGTTGCCCAGGTGTCGCCAACACGCTGCGATCACGGCGCCCTCCCCCGAGCTTGAAATGACCACGCCGGGCCGCACCTCCGCAGCCACTCGAAGCGATTCACGCGACTGCAGTGAAAGTCAGGGCTGCCTTATCTTTCTGAAGCACGAGAGCAGCGTGGCCAAGTTCCGGCTTCCTTCAAGACGCCCCCCACCACGTGCTTGTCAGAGTTATCGTTCGAGAAGCCCTAGGTTCGCCTAGCATTCTAGTCGTTATTTGTATTAAATTTATCCATTGTGGGAGGGGGAGGCGGAGGAGGCGGAGAAGGGAGGAGGGGGGAGGAGGGGGGAGAGATGGGTGTGTGGGTGTGTGTGTGTGCTCACCTTAGAGTCGACCACAGCTAGGTAGCCGCCTTCCTGCGCGCAGGCATCTTTTGCGTCCATCCAGTACTTGCTCTCGTGGTGGAGCTTGTAGTAGCCCAGGCCCTTGTGCAGCTTGTAGCCAGGGGGTATGTGGAGGTGGCACTTCGGGCAGAACACGCAGTTCACGCAGCCATCGCACGCAGGATAGGTGGCGCGGGCGGGCCAGTAGCTCTCGTCCGCTTTGGAAAATCCTAGAGGCGGGCAACTCTCATCACATGGTCATCCAGAGAGTTAAATAATGTCGATGGCTAGTCGACAGATTTCCCAAACAGACTTGGAAGTGAAACTCAGAGAGCAACAACACACTAAGTTTATTACAGCAGCAAAATATACAAAGGAATACAAATTTCTAATGATAAGTCAAAACGGTAGTGAACAGAATACAATATTTCCTTACAGCTATATACGCGCTACCCCCACTTCCGTTCCCAGATAGAGGTTGGAGAGGGGGTGACACTTGGCATTGCCAGTTGGAGCAAGCGCGCTCCGGGTGGCCCTTATCAGGGAAGGGGATGAGCGCCTCAGGCGAGGAAACTCGGGATGTCACTGCGGGTGAAAGGTTGAAGTGACCCTTAGAATTATGTGTAGGTCAAAGGGGCAGGCTTCAGTATTGACGGAATATTCCCAGCCCAAATGAATGTGGAAGATCATTACCCAGTCCTCGACCAACTATGCAGGGGAAGCAAAAGAGGAAGTGTAAGAGAGGAATTTGTCCGAATCGCACTGTGTAACCTTGTCTGTTCATATCGCACGTCCAGTATTAATATTTGTCCATCAATACAATTCGATAAATAATCCACAAAATCAATTCATTGTGATATATTGTGTGAAAGCATCGTATTTAATAGATTTGCAGAACATGTTAAGAAACACTCCTAGGACCATGAGTAATCGAAATGTTATATAAACTCACCTTCAGAACCACTGCTGTAACTAAAATCCAAAAAGTTCTCCTGGCCCTCGCTGGCGCCAGGTCCAAACGCCAGCAGAAGCAGCGCCTGTGGCAGGAAAAGAAAGGTCTGTGAGCTTCTTGCTCACCGTTGGGTGAATTGATTTTCGTATACTCATTGCCCCGACATTTAGATGACTTCCTGTACGATCGGTGTCCTATCACTGTCCTGTAAGGTTCATCGAGCAGCTTTCTTGCGTCTGTGACGGAGAGTAACGACAGTTCCAATGAAATTCATCTCCACCAATTGTACGTGCATCTAATTCAAGAATTTTACGCAATCTTTGAATATTCCAGTGAAAAGTTCCAGTGAAATCTGTGTAGACCAAAACACAACGAATTCGGAAAATATTAAACGGTAAAGCTAACATAATGGTGAATACGACCCGTGTTTCAGTGCTAAATGTTTTATGCCCCCAACGACCTAGTGAAAGTTGACATAAATCTACGAGTGACCTTCGTGGCTGAAATTCCAAAGGAATGCCTTCAACCTGATGAATTGTGCGTTAACACTAGTTTTGAATGTAGATTCTGGATATAAAAATATCAATGGCATGGGACGTCCATCATTGTTCACATTTTGATGAACGATTACTTGCACGTGTTTTTTTGACTTGTGTCTCACGTCATTAATATTTACATTAGCGGCGATTTTTTCACATTACTATGTATATGAGTATTGAGTTGAATTGATGCCTTATTTTACGCGGCGAGACTCGGGCCATCAGGCCCGCTCTTCCGTCTGACCTCGCAAATTTCGTTACGCCCCTTTCACCAACTAGCAGAGAAAGGAGGTATTTCTTGGGCGAGAAACAGGCGATTTCAATTTAGCTCAGAGGCTACGTCATTTAGGATTGAAGATATTTTACATGCAAGTAAACCGACTAACATGAGACAGCGGGCTTTACTTCTCCTCCGAAGGATGGCGAACGAAGGATTTTTTCGTCCTTAAAAATACACGGCTTCGATCGGGTATTAATCCGCCAACTTGGGTATAACAGTCATATACGCTAACCGTTACATATACGCTAACAGTCATATACGCCAACCATCGCCGCTGATTTACACCATCGCCGCCAAGTACATATGCTTTAAATAATGTCATATATAGTTTCTCGAAAACGTAATCGTTTTATGTGAAAACTAGCTTGAAGTTCAGCAATTTCTGAAACGCCCAAACACCATTGTCTCAAAAACGTCTCCAAATGGCTTCTTCAAACTTTTCAAACAGATAATATTAATTGAATTCGTTAATATGACGCAAAATTAATTTCCGGTTGTTTTTTAATTACTCAATGATAATAGTTTTGATGATTTCACACGCCGTTACTATGCGTATTTCCAGTAATTTGTAAACACGATTGTATTTGTGAGTTAAAGTGCTTCAAATGCTTTCTTATAAAGTCTTCTCTTCTTCTCCCTCAAGCATTAGACCGGTTGGTCCGTTGCGCCTCCTTGATCTAACCATCTTCTGCTGGGTCTACCAACGCTTCTTGTTCCTTTAGGGATGTACTGAAGCACTTGCTTTGGAATAGGTCGTCTTCCTTTCTATTCAAGTGTTTCTTCCATTGCGCTCTATATTCCTCAATTTTTTCATTTAAGTTGTAAATTCCTATATTTTTCCGGATGGTCCCATTTTTTAATCTGCCATTCTTGTTACTCCCAGGACTGATCTTAAAAATCTCATCTCGGCTGCTTGAAGTCTACTGTGTGTTCTGGAGTTCATAGTCCAGTTTTCGCTTCCGTAAAGTCCGCAAGGCACTGCCATAACTTTATAAAACTTTAGCATTGTGTCTTTACGGACCTTTCCTTTGAGCGCTCTTTTGATGATGTCACACATCATATTGAATCTTTCTATCTTCCTTACAATATCAACTTTGCCGAGGTATGATACGTCACATCCTAGAAATCTAAAGGTATTAACCTGTGCAATATGTTTGTTTTCTAATATGAATTTACATCTTAAAGGTTGTAAGCCTTGGAATGCCATGGATTTGGTTTTATTTGTAGATATACTTAGATTATATTGCTTTGTTATTTTATATAGTTCATATAGTGCCCTTTGCAGATTATCTTCTTTATCTGCAGCTAAAATCTGGTCGTCAGCAAACATAAAAGTTTTAATACATTTTTTTTCCTTTAAAATTGTCTTCTATATTAAGTTTTTTGATCTGTTGTTTCCATTCTCTCACAGCATTGTCTAGATATAGATTAAAAAGTATAGGTGAAATACAACACCCTTGTCTGTCCCCTTTTTTAATATTTTCTTGGGCAATAATTCCAGATTTTAGTTTTATGTTTATCTGTGTTTCTAGATATATATTTCGTATAACTTCGATCAAGTGCAATGGTATTCTTCTTTTTTCCATAATTTTCCATAGTTTTCCTCTGTGTACTTTATCGAATGCTTTACTGCAATCAATAAAGACTATGTAGGTCTTTAGGTTGTATTCTCTTCTTTTTTCTATTATTTGTTTTAATATAAATATATTCGAGCAGGATCTTCCTTTTGTTCCTGTTTGTTCAAGTAATATACTGTCTGTAATGTTCTCAATCTATTTACTATTATCTTCCCATATATTTTATATGCCGTATTCAGAAGACTTATACCTCTATAATTTTCGCAGTCAGTTCTTGATCCTCTTTTAAAAATGGGTATTGCTACTGCTTTCTTCCATTCCATTGGTATTCTTTTTTGTTGCCAGCATTGATTTAGAAAATCTAGAAGCCTATATTTGGCTTCTTCTGGTAGATATTTGAATAGTTCTATATTTAGATTGTCTGAGCCAGGAGATTTGCGGTTTTTACAGCTTTGTAAGGCTTCTTCAAGTTCATTAAATTCTATTTTATCAATTTCTGATATACATCTGTTCTTTTCTTCCTCTTCATCATTTACATCTTCTCCCTCTTCATTTGTCCACAGATGTTTACAGAACTTCATCCAGTCTTCTCTATCTAGAAGAAAAATTTGCTGCATATTTTTCTTCTCTGTTTAGGTGTTTCATAATTTTGTAAGTAGTATACTGGCGACAATATACATCTTTTTCTATCTTAGATATGTATCTTTCCCAGCTTTCTTTGTGTGCAGCTTTTACTATTTTTTTTGTTTCTTTTCTTTGTATTTTATATTCCTCCAATGTCTCAGGAGTTTTCGTCATGGGCCACTGTAGATATGAGTCCTTCTTTCTTTGAACTGCACGTTTCAATTCTTCATTCCACACATTAAGTCCCTTAAAGGCTTATATTTATTCCTTTTCCCTAAGGTTTCAAAAGCTACACTTTCTATCAGTTGGGTTAGCATCTGCCATTCTAATTCAATATTCGTGCTGATGGGTTCCTTCAGTATATATAGTCTTTATACGTATTGAAATAAATTTCTGATGCTAGGTCTCTAATAGGTTAGTTTTCCATACTGTTTCCTTATTGTGATATGTTTGCTGTTGTTCTTGCACATTTAGTTCTAAGGATTATTCCCTCTTACTAGGAAATGATCTGAATATTATATTCCATTCTCCATACTCTTACGTCTGAAATAGTTCCCACTTTTCATTTGCAATTAATAGTCAATTATTGATTGTATCCTTGTTCGCATAAGTAAATTTTATGGATATCTTTATGTCTCAAAGAACGTATTTCTATTCGTATGAATTAATATTCAGAATTCACGTGACACTGTTTTCCATTTTGTTTACTTATTATTCTCTTTGTCCATAATTTTTAATGGGTTGTTGTCCATATCCTAGCCTTCATAGCTGCTTGGAGCTTGACTTTGGTCTCTTTTTTCCATATCCACGATTCACTTCCATACAGGAGAACTGGAGCAGCCATTGTCTTATAAAAACTTCATTTTGTTGTCTTTCCTTGCTTGTTCTGTAGTGTTCTGTTTATTATTCCACATCTTGATTGAAATTTATTAGTTTTATTTTTCTATTGTCTTTATCTGTGTCATAACTGATGTCACAAACCAAGGTAATTAAAATTTGAAGTCTGGTCGATCACTGTGTTGTCAATAACTTATTTGTTAGCGTATGAGTATTTACCGCAATGGGCCATAACTTTAGTCTTCTTTTTGGAAATTCGGAGATTTAACAAAAAAGATTAGTAGTTTACAGAAAGTAGAAGATCAGAAAGGAAAAGACTCCCTAGCCTCGCAACCTAATAGCATCGGGGTCGAAAAATACAAGGGGTCGAGAGTGACCGAAATAGGGCAGGTTAAAAAGTATTGGCAAAAAGTAAGTGGAAGCATTGCCATACTAGTGAAAAGACCCTCCTCCTTTATCCGGGCTTGGGACCGGCAGTGCCTGCATGCAAACCCAGGCGGAGTTTATAAAGTGTTTGGAAAATTTACAAATATTCTTTGAAGAACTTCAAATTTCGAATTTACTGAAGCGCTTAAACGGCTCCAAATTTTTCAAAGAAAATTGCAATTTAGTACGAGGATTTACTGTTCTTTAATAATTTTAAAATAATAGTTCCGTTCTACGATTAGGAAATCGAAAAATTAAGAAAATTTTAAAACATGTACATTGGCGGCGAGAGATCCCAGCTTTCAAGAATATGTGGCAAGTCCGAATAGCTAGCAGAGAAGAAAGAAAGTAGAAAACAGATACGGGATGGTCTGTGCCACTCTGTAACACAACTAGTTTTTAATGTATTGCATCTTTTATTTCAATTAGACCTTCATCGTGTTATTTTTGATGGGGCACCGTTGAGAGTTGTCACTATGCCACTTTCAAAATGTTTCTCATCTCTTCTCGCTCTCGACTCAACATGGCGGCCAACGTCTGGCCTCACTTTTCAAGCGAAGATCACGTGATGTAGTCACGTGGGTTGTGACGCAAAGTAGTGCTGCACAGAACGAGGAGAAAACGGTGCCCCGAAAGAGCCCACTCAGCTATTTTCACCATGGGGATATCGGACGGGGCACGGCATTGTTGTGAACGTGAGAACGCAAGTCGCACCCTGGAATGTTGCTCCCATAATTTACTATAATTTACTATTTGACACACGCACGTTACTTGGCGAAAATTGTTAAACCGCCAGATATATTGAGTAGACTATAAACTAGTATCGGGATCAAATTATTGAAGAAGGCAGTGAGAATGATTAATTGTCTATGATTGTCTAATTGTCAATAAATAATAAACCTACAACTGGGTAATTTCATTTATGTTGTAGACATGAATTAAATATACTTAAAAACGATTAATTTGATTTATAATAGAAACTATACATAGATCTAAAAAACAAAAGGGGTTTTATGATTTTATTTCTAAAATACAAAAGCTTTTCACGTAAAAAATAAACATTTGCCAAGTAAAATTGTAAATCATGCTGGTAAGTAAGATTTTTCAATAATTAAATTATAATTTGTTTATATATTGTTGAACATATTTTAAAAGCCATTTTGCGAGAATTTCCTTTCTTAATTGATTTTTTTTTTAATTTTCCCTTTCGTCCACATTGCTTAAAAATCTGAAAAAAATAAATGTTATAGAAAGTTTTAAACACATTTTAAGGAAAAACTGAGTATGTTCTCCAACGGTATCACGCCGAAATTCAATTTTAAAATTTTATGTATTTATTTTTCTATTCGAATTTGGCGTCAAAATTAGCAGACAAAAATACCGATTAAATGTTTCCCAGTCTATGCATGTTTTTCAGACTATTACATGCAATAGAAATTGAGGGAAAAAATAAAGATAAAAACAGGTTTTCCGTTATATCTCTGCAACTAAATGTCCTAGACGGCTGTTATTTGGGCATCTACGGCATATTATATTCCTTTTATATAAATTTAGCGATTATTGAATTGGTTTGGAGGCACTTTTTACTTCCTTATTCGACTATATTCTTAGCACGATTACATAATCTTTTCTTCTTACGAACTACCTTCGTAAGGGAGAGAAATTAAAAAGAATATGATAAATATCGAAATAGTTCATTTATGATAATGTGCTTTTTATAAAAATAAATTTTTATCATAAAAGTATTTACTAGGTTGTCCGGGCGGAATGCCTGAGGAAGGCCGCAGAATGGCGACCGAAACGTCGGCACCTTCGCCATGGACGCGGCGTCACCCGGACAGCCTAGTAAATACTGACTCCGGCCGCGGAAGCCTACACTCTCAATTATCATAAAAGCTAGTGTTTTAATTCAATACTATGAGAATCCAGCAGTCGATGCCCTGCCCTCCACCGCCCTCTTCCTCCTTCACACTTCTTTCTCTAGCCATCTCTCTCTCTCTCTCTCTCTCCGCCTCTCCCTCTATGTCTCTCTCCATCTCTCTCTGTTCTGTCTCATTCTTTCTGTCTGTCTCTGTCTGTCTGTGCTTCTATATGCCCCTCTCCCTCTGGCACAGTCTCTCAGTCCTTGTTCCCCTCTGACTCCATTTCTCCGTATCTCTGTCTCTCTCTTTTTCTCTGCGTCATTGTATGTATCTGTCTGCCTTTGTCTCTGCCTGCTTCAGACTGTCTCTATCTCTTTGTGTCTCTCTCTGTATCTGTCTATGTCTGTTTATTTCTCGGTTTGTCTCTCTTTGACTCTATCACTGTCTCTTTCTGTCTCTGCTTCTCTACGTCTCTGTATCCGTCTCTCGTTTTCTTTGTCTGTTTAATTCTCTCCCTGCTTCTCTGCTGACTGTCTGCCTATATCTGTCTCTGCCTGCCTCTCTCTATCTGTCACAGTCTGTCTCTATCTATCTCTGCTTCTCTCTGTCTCTCTCTAAGTCTCTCTATCTCTGTTTTCTTCTCTGCCTTTCTCTGGCTGTCTCTGTGTCTCTTTCGTCCTCTGTTTCCCTCTATTTGATTTTCTCTCTACGTTTCCGCCTTTCTTTGTCTTTATGACTCTCTGCCTCTCTCTGTTCGGTCGGACCTAATCTAAATCTGCCTGTGTCTGTCTCCGTTTCTTTCTCTCTCTTTCTAACGCAACTAGCCGTCCTGACCTTTTCGGCCTCGCCCTGCGTCACACGGCATCTCTTAGCAAAAATAAAGCTCACGTGGAGCTCAATTTGAATGGAAATTGATTTAAAATGAAGCGCAAACTAATGTCTGCAGCGCCATCTAGTAACGTTACAGCACACCTAACAGCTTGTAAACTTCTGGGTGACAAAAAAACGTAGATTAGCCAACTTTCAAGGAGATCGGACACACGATGTCATAGTTCCACTGTACGCGTCATTGTTGCATACAATTCAGCAATGGATATTTGAGAAGTTCCATGATAAACGACATCATTATACGAGAGACGAGATGAAGGTGACTATATTCAACTTAATTTGACTCGGGAAGATTATGTGTTTATATATATAAACACATATATAATCTGTATAGAGAGGGTATACATGAGTTAATGATATCGTAGTTTCAAGTGCATTCATAATGCGGAATATTGGATGACCTTTAGTTTCGGATGCTCAATTTGTATGTGAAATCATCTTTACTTGTCTGTATGATGTGCAGGAAATAATGCGAGCAGTTACAAATAAAGTATAATAAGCTACAACAGCACATACTTTTTTATGAAATAAGAATGTATGTGCTTTTGGGGTATTACTAGTTCGGCATCAAATACCAACAAAATATGGATTCTGGATCACCGTGTCTTAGAGGAAGTAATTGACTACATATACATAGTAATAGGATTTATTCACTTTTTCGTTATCATATGGCAATGAGATATTTTATGTCGAAAATGTGCGGTTTTCCTGAGCACAATCACATAACTTTCTCTCCTTATGGAGTAAATGTGGGGAAATAAGAAGTGCCTCTAACAATTGTCTTTACAGAATTCGATTACTGTGGCTGGACAGCCGAGAGCAGACACTGGGCTGCATTCCAGCAGCCTTCGTACTTCTTCGTACACAACTTTTATGAATGAATACCGTTAAGCGCTTCTTTGGTGGTACTCATGTTTAAGTAATACTTACAAGTGCTGATGCGAAGAAAAGCGCCATCTTGTCCATAGAGCAGGAGGAGTTCTTATGATTCTCGCAGGGCGTATATATAGAAAAAGCATTAACGGCCGGCACGACATAAACACGTCATTAAATGTTGCCAGAACTATCGATTTAATCGCACGTGGAACCACACCAAAGACGTTCCATCAAAGAAGCGATCAGAGTTGTCAAGAGTTGACCTTTGACAACATAAACTATCTGTTTGTCCATGAAAGTAATAATTTCTTTTGAATCCATCGATATTACAATACCCAGTGATATTAAATAGAGTTTGATGAGCAATTCCCTGTATCTATTCTTCTTTCTAATCATCCCTTCATCGTAAACTGACATGACTCAGAAACATATGTTTCGTGTCATCGGAAAGTCAACGACTTTTTGGGAACCAAAATTATTATAACTCAGAAGCATAAAACTCTCTGTATTTTCATGCATTAAAAAGAGATTATTAATACCTATGCTTAGCGTTTCCTTTCTTAATATTATTAATGCCCACAAGAAGTTTGAAACAAAGATAATAAGACACAGAATGATCTTAATTGACGGTTTTTCAAACTTCTATATAGATATTTTTATATTAGGTGTGTAATATGGCGTGTAATGTAATGTAATGTAATGTAATGTAATGTAATGTGTTCATATTAAGTATGACCTAAAGTCTTGGCAAAAAATCTCGATCTCGACTGCGAAAGAAGCGGAACCTTCATACACGAGACATGATCAACTTTTTTTCTACAACTGCATATATATTTAATAGAAAAGGTTTTGTAAATTCGTATTGAAAAAAAAAGCCCGGTAACCCGGGCAATATAGAAAAGCAGTCCACAGGCCCGTGATTAGAGAAGTATTCTAAAACCATACAAAAAATATTTTTTTTTATGATATAAAGATAGTTGTCTTGGTAACTATATTATTTTAATGGATATTAAGAAGTAACAAATTGACGTGCGGTTAGCATATGCACATAATTCCCTTTGTTATTCATTTGTAGAAAAAGAAATTAAAGTATTTGATCTTTCTGAAATGGCGCTTTTTCAAAAAGAGTAAAACCAGTAATTTTTAAAAAGGCTGCACTTTCTAACATCTCCATTATAAAAATAGTTCACTTCTCAGACACACACAAACTAGTGTTCCTGCAGGAACGCACAGACTTTCTCATAATATTTAGTTATCGAATCTCTCTAGTGTGGGCTAGCATATCGATTTTGCCTTCCCCTCTTCCCAGCTGCTACCGATTTATTACCATAAGATTTGTTTAAAACATTTTCTCAATGTTTGGGTCTCCTATTGACGAATGCCTTTAAAAAAAATGTTAAAATAAGAAATGGTTCTACAAGCAAATTTTCATTTAAACAGTGAATTTAATTTTGTGAAAATGTTCATTGATCCTTCATGAAAAATTCCGAACTCATGTTTTTAGAAAACTTTTCAAATATGAGAAAATGTTATCAAAAACATTTAAAGCACTTGTACTCACAAATGCAATAATCTACACAAATGCCCGAAAAATAAATATTAACTACCTGAAATATATTTTAAAAATACTTTTACGTGTGTAGTAACCAGAAAAGAGAAGTACATTTTTTGTGGAGTGTTTGAACTGTTCTAAGTTTTATAACTAGTGATTCTACCAGTGCCAGGAAAGCAGGGCCCGGATGTTTATGACATGTCATATTGTTCTTTGCATTATTTCCATGGAAAATGTACGTTATGCATGATTTTATGCAAATAATATATATAAATTCTAACTTGCATAGTATCTAACTGCCTGGAATCGCCTCTCGTTTTACGTTAACGAAGCGCAGTAAATTCCGAGCGAACGACTAAGTGGGTCGCCAAATTACTAAAAAACAATCACATTTTCGAAAAGTTCAACATCTCCTTCATCGAAGATCTGTTTTTGATGAACATATTTCTTTAAGAAAAGGATACTGTATCTTCACAATTGTAGTTGTAGCAAGATGCCGAGGTATTTTTAATTGTTTGAAATATTTCTGTGTGTAAAACCGTATTTCCTTTCATAAAATATTATCTACATATTATATATAATCATTATGACCGACAACAAATTTTTAAACCTCTATGTTGCTATTTTACGCACGACAACGCCTGAAACGAAGCTAGCGAAATTCGAATTTACACTTTCGAACTTCTGTTGCAAATTTCGAAAATGCAGAGCGTGTCGAAAAAAGGACCATCGCCACTATCTTTACAGTTCTTTGCTACATACGAAGATAAAAATGAAAGGCAATGTTTGAAGCCGGTTCTGAGAAAATTGTATAAATTGTTTTAAAAGCGTCTACGTGAAATTTAAAATTAACTCTAACTAACAAAACATGAGCTAACAAGAAAACTCATATTTTCGAAATATTGAACATGACCTCTTTTAAAGAACTGTTTCTGATGAACACATTTCATTAATAAAAAAAGATCTTCAAAATTGTAGTTGGAGGAAGACGACAATTTTTTTTTTTTAAATTTTGCGATTTTTGAAAAGTCAGGAATTTCAACGAACACGTGACTTACTTCACTCTCTCAAACGTCCCTCACACTATCCAACATCAAAATTTACAGAAAAAACTATCCTCCCCTTTCTTTAAAAATATCCCAGATGCTCAATGCAAGGTGCTCCACAAAATTAAAACATCGGTTTCAAATTCCAGGGGCCGCGACATCAGCTACATCAATTGGGAAATATTAATTTTGAAGAAAATCAGCTGAATGGTTTAACCGCTAGCGTTTTTCACACACGGACAGACATTTTTTGGGATAGGGGACCAAAAAACGTAGATTCTGGCTACACGTGTTAGAAGATTTGTTTCCAAGTTTAGCAACTGGATTTATCCACTTTTTCGTTACCAGAGCCCGACAAGAGTTTCTCTGCACAAAATTCGCTGTTTTTTTCGCGCAGAATTACTTGACTTTCTCTTTTGACGAATCTGTTTAAGGGCGACGAAGTAAAAACAGTTTTTCGTTATTAGGGGACCCCAAAACGTGTATTTTCGTTGAAATCTCGAAATCGTTTTTCCGAAGCATTACATGATTTTTTCTATACTACACATATTACTCCGTATACGTACGTATATGACAAAGTAACTTGTGCTGTTACAGAATGACACAGACTTTCTTATACTAGATAGATTTCTAATTTCTTTGTTCTGTGCTAGCTGGTCGGTCTTGCAATAAACTCTTGTCAGCTGCAATATATCGCCACCCCATGTAATGTTCTCAATTTTTCAATTTCCTAATGGTAGAATCGAAAAATTACTTTAAGAATAAATTAGAAGAATAAAACATTGTCCCAAAAAGATATTTTCTTCGAAAACTTTAGAGTCGTTTTTCACATAATGGCGTTTAAATGTTATTGTAAATGCGAAATTTGAAGCTCTTTTCACAGAAAACATTTGTCTAATTTTGGAGGAAGTACACAGCAAAATGAATTTTATGATTTAAAATTTTGGATTTTTTTCTTAAACTGTTTGGATGGATAGAAGTAAATTCTTAATTATATCCCACACACGTTATTTTTTTCTTTTAATTTAAAGAAAAGCACACAAATGTATGTTCAAATAGTAATACAATGTTATGAAACCTTTATGAGTAATGCTAGAAAGCTCGCGTTGTAGTAATACCATTCGTTTTTAAAGCGGTGTCCTATGTTTAAAGAGACCGCCTTCTGACTTCTTCAAGTTGGCAACCATGATGCACTGCATGGTGGCAACCCTGGCCGCCTGCCGCGGATGATCGTTGAAGTCGCTGCCACCGGCGCAGCAGCGGTGCTAGCGGCTGGCAGGTGACTCGCGTATTGACCGCCGGAGCGCGCTTGCGTCAACGTCACTAGTTGCGTGGCTGGCAGAGCTCCCGTCGTAGCCGGCTGCCCGTCGTCCACCCTCAACAGCTGAGAAAGTGAAAGTCTGGCCCGATTTGCATCTTGCACGGATTCTCTTTTAACCGCAATTATTTTCGCTTACACCGCCATCGAGTCGTTGACCCGTGCTACCGGACGTCCTGTCGTGTCGCAGGTACAGAGTGGCGAAAGTTGTCGGTTGTCGGATTACTGGGAATTTAGCATTGGTGATTTACGTTCGAGGCGTTTAAACGCCTTACTGAAGTTGTTTTATTGTTGTTGTTTTTTTCGCGATCTACAGAAAACTGTGTTTCAAAAGGGTGTTTTAGTTGTTTGTGTCCTGCTCTGTCCATATGTTAATGCAGTGACCTTTCTTCATTTATTGACAGCTTCCAGAAGATTCACCCAATGTCACCCCTCGTCGTGTAGTTGCCGATCTCTTCAAATTATTTACTGTGGTAAGTCTCCTTCGTTGATTTTCAGTTGTAGTTAGGTTATGGTAAACTTATTATTACTAATATTTAAATACTATTTAACAAACAGCTATGTACCCAGGTTGGTGATTCGTGTGTACAATTCATGTATTATTCTAGACCAGTATAAATATTATATTATTTTATTAGCTTTTGAGCAATGTTCTAGCATATTTTGTTTAAGTTAATTCAATATACTTCATTTTTCCATAAACAGTTGTATTTAAAGAATTTGCCCTTACGTATTATTTCTTATTAAATCACTGACATATTACGAACAAAAAACGAAATAATGTCTGTTCCTGATTATGAGGTGATATATATATATATATTATACATAAAATGTATTCTCTTTTTCATATGTGTAAACGAATTTAGCACCGAATTAAGTCGTATCATCAATAGTTCACCTCAACCACGACATTTAGCACAGATGTGAGTGACCTACAACAATTTTGGGGAAAAATACATCTCGAGAGAGAAATATAATACAAAAAAAAGTTTAGTATTCTCCTCTAATAACCACTTTACAAAAGAATTACATTGAAAATAAAACAAACTCTTTTATAAATGCAAAGTACCGCATTGAATCGCATGCCATGGAATCAAATAAATGGAAATAAAGAATTGTGTGTCAAGACATCCTGAGGTGCCAGTAAACGTTTCTGTATTTTTGTTCCATGCTGCATTTTGTGTACGATTCTTAAAGATTCTACTTCAATGAGTGCGTACATGGAAT